TCGCGATGGATGCGATACTTGGACCTGGAATATCCTGGAATACTGGGATAGTAGTCGTGGGTTATCGCCTCTGGCGTATCCTCAAGTGGGATAGATTGGGCTCAAATTCTTAGTGAAGTTGGAGGAAACTTCACAGTTAAGGCCCAAAATACCAGTTATAAGCACTAAGAAAACCCCATTTATAGAATGTATAATCCCATTTATAACAAGTTATAACTAATAAATGGCCATAACTGCAGGGATCAGCTTTATTTCCAATTTTGGGCCGCGGAGTACCCGAAGATTTTGGGTGTTTCCGTCCAGGATCTGGAGGTTTCCGTCCTCCATGGGGGTACCCCCAAATCATCCAAGTCAGACCATGGCTTAGTACTGAAACCGAAACCTACGGTGACCACTCAGGATCCACCTCTTTACTTAGGAAACCCCGAGATCTGCCAGTGTTTCTGCCAGGTTGAAGGCAAAGTGTTGGCAAAGTGTTGAACCAATATGGGGTCTGGGCCATAGAGTGGCACACCAGTTCTCTTCAGAAAATAGGCGATTCTGCAGAATCCTAACACAGTCACATGTTGTTGAGGCCACTTCATGTGTATGCTGATATTTAATTATATACAAAGTGGGCCCCCTAGATAGGTTGGTTTATAACTCCAATAACTATGGTTTATGGTACTTATAACTATAGTTACTGGGGATTATAAACCAACTTATAACTGGGGGGCCGCACATTGTAGATTTAATTAGATTTATATGCTGATATACCATCATGCATCCCTAATGTTGATGCTGGATTTAAGTTTTGCTCGACCATTCGTTGGATTTTGGCTTTTAGAAGGAAGGCCAGTCCTTCTGGCTGACAATCCCAATGCAGTGCCCGAAATCCAGGTTTATGATTATACTTACTTGGTGGCTCATCCCACTTAGTAAGTGGGTTACATAACCCCAGTTATAAGTGGATTATCGCTACTTATCCCATTTATAACTGGGGTTATAACCCACTTACTAAGTGGGATGAGCCACCAAGTAGTAAACATAGATCTGGGTATATAAATTATAACGACCGAACCCTGTTCTCCCGAACCCTGGAATCATGGTTTATGTTATCATGGATGCTCGAACCACAACCCAGTCGAGCCACCCCCCAGTGTAGCCTCCTTATTTTGAAACCTTATTTTTTCCCTTATTCATTTTTAGAGATTTTGATGGATCGACCATGTTGAGAGCCTTTTTACCCCCTTATTTGAAAGCCTTATTCGGCCTTATTCGTAAACCTTATTCTTCACTATTTGAAAATGCAAAAAGGGACCGCTTGGGCGAAGATTCGGAAATTTTGGATGATGAACTGGATCCATGTTTTCCGGTTCTGCAAGCATTCTTGGGTGATGAATTGAATGAACATTTCCCAGTTCCACAATATTTGATGGGGTGATCAAACTGGACTGAATTCAAATTTCCCCGTTTCACAAAGTTTCTGGAATTTAGATTTTCCCATTTCATAAGTGCTGGGGTGATCGATTGAATACAACTTCCTTTGCTTATCCACAACAACTATATGCCATTGTTTTGTTACTTACCTCAAATAAAATTAATAGGTGTTATTACCCCTTAATAGCATAATTGAATTACCAACCCTGATGAATCCTTTGCTCAATGCACAAATAAGTGCTAATAGATGTTACCAAAGCCTCTGGAACTCTGTGGTTGGTTGTACAGAAACATGCATGCAACACAAAGGGGTTGGTGACAAAATGATTGAACTGTGTTAACTCGGATAGTTTTTTTTTGAAACCCAGTCTGGACAGGTGAACCAGATAGAAACTAATTAATACAGCCTATTAGCATCTCCATGGTTCTGATTTGGGAGATTTACCGAAAATAACGCATACAATCCAAATGTTAAGATTTGTGTTTTATACTTACCCACAACCTTGATGATAGATTTGTACAAAAAGCTAATAATGGCAGCTAATAGGCACTAATAACACACTCAAGTATCAAAAATGTAAGGTAATTAGTATGCTAGATCCTCAATGAAGGTATGCTGAGATGTGTATGGGGATATCCATTTGCAAAGAGCATATTATTTTTTGGTTCATGGCTGCAACCACAAAGTTTTTCTTAATCAAATTGCCAAATTCTGTTGGCTCCAACCATTGAAGGTTCCCCTGAAACCAGGGTAGAACTGAAACCATTCTATCCTATCAGATGTATCATGAGCAGGGAGGAAAACCATTCTATCATGTACAATGTATTTGATGCAAAATTTTGATCTATGAATGTGCTTATTAGCAACTATTAGCACTGAATAACATGTACCTGAACAAAATCAATCACAATCTTTCAACTGCAACAGAAGATCTGTTGCGCGCCCATGGCCCTCAGTGTGTTGCTGTCTGGCCAGAATGTTTCTTGAAAGCATTTGTGTTGGTGTTGTGTTTTGATCAAATTGTGCATTCCTTCCAGTACCCACACCAAGCGAAAAGCCGACACTTTCGTGCATTTGAGGCCTGTCAACGCTGAAAATTTCGACCTTTTCACCAGCCACTTGAATCATATTTAAATATCAAATTCAATTCAAACACCTGGACCTACTCACACAGTGGTTGTGCACAGCTCCTGCCACCAGCTAGCCAACTCAGTCCCACCTCGTGGGTTTACACCAAGGAGCTATTAGTGCTTATTAGTGCCTAATAGGGCTTTGTATTTTGATTTATTTTATCGAACTTTGGAAAAACCAAGGCAAACTGTTCGTCAATGCTTTGGAAATTGAATGCATTTTCCCGGATGAAGCTGCCCCTGATGACATAGAGGTGCATTGGGCTGTTTCTTCATCTACAAAGCTGATCTACAGAACTGACATTCAAGAGAAACGGATGAACAATTTTTGGCAGACTTTGCCACAATTGAAAGAGAAGTACAAGGAACTATGGGAAACTGAAGACCTTCCAATCATTCTGCGCTCAAGATTTGGTTCTGCCAACAAAGTTTCTGACAGTGATCAAGGTCAATTGTCTCTTGAGATGTTTACAAACAAAACAATGATTCCAACATCTCTTGTCATTACAATGCTGATTTGGGGCATACAGCGAACGCGGCGACCAGCAGAAGATGTGGCACGAACATGTCGAAACTTCATGGCCCTTTGGTCTTTGACGTTCTCCGTCATCAACAGCAGCAAATGCCGGGTTGTGAGAGACGATGGCGCCAGGTTTGCCTTCATGATCAATCCCACTGCTCAGGTGCCATTTCTGGAATGTCTTTTTTCTAAGGACTATGCGCAACAAATTGCAGCAGACTGGAAATCAATGTTCTCAAGTAAGTCCTGTCCGGAGTGGATGTCTTTTGACAATATCTATCAGGCGTCTGTTCTGCAAGTGCTGATGTTTATGCTGTTGCCATGTCATGGACGTGCCTACAACAATGTGATGCCAGTTGTTCGCATGGTCATACGATCTTTCGCGAAATGTGTCGACAAGATGGGTAGAGCTGCAAAGATCTCTCAAGTTGCTGAGAAGACAATATTCAAAAATCGCAAAGCATTCTCAGATACAATGAACAAAAGGAAAGCACAGTGCGCACAGTTTCTTCTAAGAGAAAATGATTCTTATCAGCAAAAAATAATGCAAGTTAGTTTTTGGATGTTTTTGGTTTGATATGGTGTAATATTTCTAATACCCCTTAATAAGGCCTAATTGGATGGCTAATCCTACAGCGTCCAGCTCAGGACGACAATGGCATGACTTTGAGAAAAGCACTGGACAAATTCCAGCTCAGCTCAATGAATGTGACAACGTATGCATTTCACTTTGCAGTTCTGATCTCAGATTCCAGGGCCCCAGGAAAAACATATCCAAATTATGTAGGAACAATTGCATGTCTTCACCAACCAGTAACCAAACAATCCCAAAAACATTTTGCACTTTGCTAAGGTGGTCTACATAGCAAGAGCAATGGCAGAAGCCAAGAATTGTGCAGTTTGGCATGTGCCTTGGCTGGATTTTGAGTGTAAAATATATATACTTCAATAGTGAATGCACTATTAGTCACTATTAGGCACTAATAGCCCTAAAGGAAAACACAACCTGACATACATATTGGTTTTGAGATGTATTGTATAAACATGTGCAGATCCGCCTGCATGCTTTGGCAGGTCTATGCAGATGGATCAAGTGTCGCTAAGCGACCTACGGAAGTATCCTACGTTTGGTTGCCGGAGCTTTCCAAGGGGTTCTATGGACCACCAATTGCTGGGATCTTAGAAGTTCTCTGCAGTGCATTTCTGGAAATTCAATGCGTAGTCATTCCGAAGTTGTGATTTTGGGTGAACATCACCAGTGAAGATAGCTTCTGGCTCATTTTTTTGACAAATTTCCATGGTCGATGAAATAGTTTATCCGAAAAAAAAATAAACATTCAAACATTAGTCTTTCCTGAATTTTAAAACTAACCATGGCAACTATATTTCTTGAGCTACCAGGATTGTTACTTAACTGAATCCATCTCCTGTTGAACACCTTTTACACAAGATTGTAGAATTCAATAACTATCTGGTACCTTTTGATCCGTGTGGTAGACATGGACGCGGTGTCGGAAATTAGCATGGAAAGTGGCACAGCTGATGGCGCTACAGCTTGGCATAGTTGGGATTCCAACGCAAGCAGATGCAGCAATGCCCCATTTGAGGACAGCTGCCATGTTCATGTATGACCAATTGTCTCCAACAAGATTCCAATACACCTTATTAGAACCCAATAGTACATATAGATTGTATCTAAAACTGTTTATTCACCTGATTTCACGAATGCACCAGGATATCCGGAGTGATAAGACCATGTTGGCAAAGAGCGGGCGTGTGGTTCAGCTGGCTTGGCACAAAATATGCACAGTTGTCAGCGACATCCACCTACAGGCACAAGTGTTATTTTTTTGGAACTCATTTTGATTTTGAATCCATGCTTGCAAGAATCATCCCAATGTCAACACCCTTTGCGCCCTGAAAGGCATGTATGCTGTTTAGCACCAGGAGGGTAAGCAGCTCGTGCACTGGAGCCCTGACATCGGACATGGCATTGGCTGTCATTGAGAAGACAGTCAATGAGTCGGACCACGTTCCACGCAGTGTGAATTTCAATATTGCCTATGTCCACGCAGCTTGTCCTTTTGTGTTGTTTCAGCAAACAGAACCCTAATACTCACTAATAGTGCTTAACAGTAAACTGTTTTAAATTCAATGATTTCGATGAAAAACACCACAAACATAAATTGACCAAGAGTAGTGTTCAATGTTTCTTGAACAACCTTTGGCATTTCCATGTTTGAATATAAACAAGTAGCAATGCCACTGAGGAGACCAACAAGACTTGCCAACAGCTCATTAGAGACAATCTGCAGTGGTGTAACCTGGTCACCTCACGGGCATCGCCACTGCCTTGCATGTTCGGAGAAGTTGAGGGTTGCATACCTTCATCTGCAATGTCTCCGTCTGATGAGACTTCATGACAATGTTTCAGAAAATCAACCGGTGCAACCTCATATCACACCAATGGTGCTTCAGCCATCAAAAGTGCTGCCCTATCTTGGGAAATGAAGCTGCGGTGGACTACAACTGCGCTGGCCTTCCGTGCTGGGATTACAGTCTAGCTGGCAACAGGAAGCTAGAAGAAGGTGAAACCCGCCGGGTTTTCATAGCGTATGCAGCACAACACTGCTTTCAGCGGACTCCACTTTTGGTGATAGAGAATGTGAAGGCCTTTGCAAAGCCTGTCTGTTTGGTGTAGCAAAAAATTGTGTATCTTATTAATGACCAAATAGCTACTATTAGTGATTATTCATATGTCTTGGAATTTCAAAAATTCGTTCTCTTCCCATGTGATTGTCTTGAAGGCATCAACTCACTGAAATCCACATTCTTTTTTGAAACACTGTGCAGGGTCTGCGGCTTGAAATGATCATGTGGCTTTTTTGCTTGCACTACAACATCTACGTCCTGGTATGCGGAGTTGAAGATCAAGGACATGATGGAGCTACCCGGGATCGACTTTGGATCATCCTAGCCCACAAGGACCGTACGAGGATGCTGTATGACCCCATTGAACTCTACAAAACTGTTTGCCAGAACATCCGGACCTATATTTCTACACGACCATCAGACTATTGCATTGCCCCACAACTTGAGATCCGCAATGAAGCACTGCATTTGGCTACGATCAGGGAGAAACTTCTGACAGTGGTTGCGCTGCATCAGAAATGTTTTCCTTGTCCAAAACGATAGTATTTAGCTAGTGTGCATTTTTTTTGGAATGAAATTGTGTGATCTGAAAGCCTTAATAGTGCTTAATAAGCATGCCTTGGGTAAATAGTTCACATCAAACAAACAAACTTCATATGTTGAAGCATACCATGTTATTGAATTTTATTATGTTTCTTGTTCACATGATTCCTGAGGAAGACTACAGAGACCTCCTGACAGACCGTGAGCTCACATGCTTGCAACAGGCAAGGGATGAATATCTTCGTATCTATGAGCAAGAGCCTGAAGAAGATCCAGATTTGCTGATATACCTGGGTGACAACTTTTCCAACAGGAAAACTTGGAGCGGGACGTCCAGGAGAGGATTGCATTTTTTTTCAATGTAGTATTGGTCAGCGTCCGCTGTCAAAAAACAATAATGTACCAGCAAAAAATAATGATATAATTTTGCACACTGCTGTTAAAAACCATGGCAGGAGAATCCCGACATTTCGTACAGGTGGGGGGTTGATGTGGTGGTACGGAAAGAACAGGTGGATGAGCCACAGGGAGCGCTTGAGCAGCTTGGCCTTCCCAGTAACGGAGGAGATGGCCAATGCCATGGGGGTACCGCCAGTTCCAATACGGGACCGATCTCGTGCTGCAGCCATTAGTGGGAATAGCATGAACTTTGCTACTGCAGCAGTTGTACAGCTGGTTGCCATGGTTTCATTCCAAAAGGTATCATAGAGACATCAACGAACCAGCTCTCAATCAATGTTGAAGAAAAAACAACACTGCATGCTTATACTGCCAGATGACGGGATTGCCTTTTCGCAAAGTGGATGATGCACAAAAAGTATAATTGTTCAAACCAGTCAAAACACATCATATTTAATTTGGAAGCATTTGTACTAGATGGAATTCATTATATGGCTCTAATAGCTACTATTAGCATCCAGCTGGGTACATGTACAGTGATCCATGAATGTTGTGAGCTTTTGGGCTGTTATCAGCACGTAGATTGGTGGACTATGCCACCAAAAGCGAAACGGGATAGCGATGCACATCTGGCTGTCAGCAAGTGTTTTGCAGACTTGCCCTTCGCTACTATACAGACTTTCCTCGAGTATGCAGAACCAGACCTTGCAAACTTTGAGACTACAAAGCACTTCGACATGAATACGCTGTGCCTCTTGATGTGCTTCATGCTGGGATGGCATCCAATGCAAGAACTTCCTGGGATACTTGGCTTAAGATTAGAAGAAACTTAGGCAGGCAAAGGTTGAAAAAATCAAAATAATTATTTTGTCATTTTTTTGTCGTTTTTTTCATTTTTTTTCGTCATTTCAGTTTTGTCTGTCATTTTTTTCTTTTTTTTTTGTCGTTTTTTTTGTCATTTCAGTTTTGTCTGTCATTTTTTTGTCATTTTGTTGTCGTTTTTTTTTGTCTGTAATTTTTTTGTCATTTTTTGTCATTTTTTTGTCGTTTTTTTTGTCATGTCAGTTTTGTTTGTCCTTTTTCTGTCATTTTTCGAAGAATTTTTTGATCGTTTTCACTATTTTTAAGAGAATTGCACCAAAATGAAAAAACATGACAAATTTTCCACAAAATGACAAAAAAAATGACAAAAAAATGACAAAAACAATACACTTTTGCAGGTGGCAAAAATTGCATGTTTCTCGAAGCATTGTCATTTGTTTGTCATTTTTCTGTCATGTTTTTGTCATTTTGGTGCAATTTTCTTACAAAGAGTGAAAAAGATCGAAAAAATCTTCAAAAAATGACAGAAAAATGACAAAAAAATGACAATGCTTGGAGAAAAATGCAATTTTTGCCACCTGCAAGAGTGCATTTTTTTTTGGTCGTTTTTTTTTGTCATGTTTTAGTCATTTTTTGTCATTTTGTGGAAACTTTGTCATCTTTTTGTCAGCAAAAAAAACTTGTGGATAAGATCGAAAAAATCTTCAAAAATGACAGCAAAAAATGACAGACAAAACTGAAATGACCAAAAAAAAACGACAAAAAAATGACAAAAAAATGACAAACAAAACTGAAATGACAAAAAAAAACGACAAAAAAAAGAAAAAAATGACAGACAAAACTGAAATGACAAAAAAAACATGACAGAAAAAACGACAAAAAATGACAAAATAAATATTTGAACCATCTCCAGGGTATGGCTGCGAGTTTCTTCTAAGCTTAAGAGTCTATTCACATTCAGTTTTTCTGGCATGTGCAGCAAAGGGATTCTGATTTTCATATATACAAAGAGATCCATAATCAATAGCTTGATAGCAATAATTGAGCCACAAGAGTTGTTGTTTTCGATTCCCCTTGAACCACACAATTTGTTGTTTATTTCAATGGCAACAACCAAGGAAATCTGACGAGAAACTGAAAAGGGTATCCTTGGCAAGCAGAAATATTTTTCTTGATCCTCTGAGTTTTTATTGTCAAACAGAACGAACAGGAACCAATACACACACAGTGTTTCTTGAAAAAAAAACCACCTAACACCTAATAGCAGCTAATAAGCACACAATGCAAGGCAGCCCACAAAGAATATGTTCGCCGTGGCCGACCTTTGAGAAAGGCTTGGTGGAACATCAAGCAGGTTGCAGCCCTCATGGCAGTGCACATGGAGGGAAAGGCTCAAGGGGATGATCTTGGTGCCTATGGTTCCTGGTTTGATCGTGGATATGAAGGTTCACCAGCATGTATGCCTAACTTCATCAGGCAGAAAGAGAACACGATCAACAAGGACAAGGACACCAATGTCAAGAAGATGATTCCCACAAGAGGAAGGTGTGACCCACAGGCAAGAATTGATTCAAACCAGTTGTGCTGTTGATACATCAAAAAAATACAGTATTATTCGCGGTCAGACTATTGAAATTTGAATATGAAACATTACAGTAAGTATTTTTTTCCGGGTGCAGCATATGAGGCGTTGCCTGTGATGCACTTCATTGTGGATTGCATTGATGATATCACTGCTGCGGACTTTCCACGGAGTGGATATGAACTATCAGAAGATTACAGCGATGGTGAAATCCACATTTGCCACCCCGAACTGCCTGAAGAGATGACAGTCGTGTCAGAAACTCTGTTTTCAACAAATCATTCTTACTGGAAGCATCAATAATATGCATTTTACTTCTATTATCATGTGATATCAAAATATAGTTGTTTTCTTTTCTTTCTCAGGTTTGTTCAAGAAGATGATGCAGATGACTGGCAAATATATCCAACTCGGGATGGTGACGTTTTGTGGAATAGCAAGGGCATGGCAAATGAGGAGAACGCTCCGCACTATGTACAAGAGGTTTTTCTGAATCTTCAGCGATTGATGCTCGCGAAAGATGAAGAATCAGCTCGCAACGTGAAGTCCAGCATGAAGAGAAAATCTGATACCCAGGATGCCTATTAGCAGCTATTAGTGCTATCTGGTAATTATTTGTGAAAATATAATTTTTGTGTTTTATTTTTTTCGATCAAAACACATATTTCTAGTACCCCAACATGTTATCCTGAATCAAATCACTGAGGTCACAATGCTGGATGGGGACCAGAGTGATGTTGACGTCAAGGACAGGGTCTTCCTTCACAGAGATTACTCTGATAAGTTCTATGTGGTCCGCCCATTCGATCTACATATGGCAGAACTCACCTATCGTGACCCTATTCTGAGTGTTGTGCACCATGTGGGAAAGAATGGCGATGGCAAAAACGTTGTTGTTGTGGATTCTAAAGCCCAAGGTCCTGGAACAAAACCCATGTACGTTCATAGATTGTTCAAACAGTGCACTATGACAGCAAGTGGAGCAACTCTTGAGAAGTGCAAGAAGTTTCTTTATTGCAATAATGTTTTTGCAATTCAATTGTATTCAAATGATTTACCAATGTAGTTATTATTCATTTGGGTTAATAGCAGCTATTAAGCCTTATTTGTCATCACTGAGGTTGCAAAAGGAATGGGGCATGGTGCCACAATCAGCGAAGCCAGCTTCGTCCAAGATCGCAAAGAACAAGTGAGTGCAAGGTATTGTATCCAAACAGTTCAAATCACATTTTGGCATCGAAGAATTTCTATTCAAATAGTGGTGTCTCATTGTCCCATTGATTTCACATAAAATAACAATAGATCTTAAATTGTTCTAAATGATCATTGTTTTCAGTTGCTGAATCGATGCCCGCTGTGATGGCCGAACCTGTATTTGAGCATGCAGGAAACGAACATAATGACCAAAGTGGAAACATCAATGCTCATGTTTTTTCTGCGAATGTGTTCAAATTTTTAGCTTTGACAAGATCCATGTCTACCCGTGCACATGAAAGCAGCATACTTGTGCAGGCAAATTTTCCCATGCATGTCTATCAGCAGGGTGTCAGTGTCAAACAAACAAAGGATCCGATCAATTTCCGTCTGATCCGGGTATTGCAATGTCTGCATACAGCGTTGTGTTGTTTGGCATCAGAGATGGGACGGGGATGGGGACAGGGAGAGGGAAACGGTGACGGAGAATAGTACGGCGTTGTATTTCTATTGCATTTGAATTTATATTTTTTTGTTTTGGAAAAAAGAAAACCGCAGCATTTTTTTCCAACAAATTTGTGGCAGCCAAGGTTTCCGGGGATGGAGACTCCTGTTGCCAAGAGCAAGGCAGCTCCAAAGGTTAAGAAGCCGAAGAAACCAGTGTCAGATACCACAAGGAAAGTGGTCACAAAGAAGTACACGCAGAAGTGCGTAGCTGACGTGCCCCTTTGTCACATGCGGGAGTGGCTGGACAAGATGGAGGGAGCGCACCTGAACCTGGAGGCGACGAAGAAATTCAGCAAGCAGGACGCCATCACGATGTTGTCATTCTGCCTTGGGTTTCATCCACGTGACCCTCCAGTTGAGTCCTGACCTTAGAGGACGTATTTTTTTTTGCCAATATGCATACATTTTTTTTTCTTGCCTCAGTTATGTTGCAATGTGTTTTACTATCAAGGATATAGATCATACTACTTGCTAAATAGCTCTTAATAGTGCTTATTTGGGCTTATGTTGGCAAGGCGATTGCCAGAGAAGATGTTCAAGGTCTCTTGGCAAAGCGCACGAAACATTTTGTTTTTTTTCGTGATTCTCAAATTTCTCACATTTAAGCAAAGCGCACGAAACATTTTGTTTTTTTTCGTGATTCTCAAATTTCTCACATTTAAGTGGTTGTAACCTTGAATACAAAGCGCCAAAAGTTTGTTGACATGTATTTTTTTGATCTTTGCAACTCTCACTAAGACGGTCAAGATGGAGTACCTGAGACGCGGCCGACCATTGAGAAAGACCGGCTGGAGCATCAAGGAGGTGTCGAGGTACATGCGCTTCTATGTGCATGGCAAGAGCAGGCATGAAGACATTGGCGTATTTGCGAAGTTCTTCATGGAACAACCAGATGGTGGTATGGCGCCCTTCCCAGAGGAAATGATTGCATGGGAAAAGATTCACCATAAGGTGGGGGGTTTGGTGGTTGGGCCCAAAACATATGTTGTAGGCCTATTAGCTGCTATTAGCCTCACTCATGAAACTTTTAGTTTATGTTGTTTCCTATTTATGCAGATTGTTGTGTATGCATACACCATTCAGCCAAGAGAACAACATAACCAATGCATAGATATGTGCAAACTTGAATCTACAACGTTTTTCAGGTAACTTGTGTTTGTGAAATACAACCTTGACATCAACCTGTACAGGAAGAGCATGAGAAGGCGAAGCTGCCCAAGTCTGTAAACCTCGCCAAGGCACTCATTGGGCTTGAGACCGAGAAAATTCCGAAATCAGGCTACATTGGGGTCTTGGATGGTAATTTCTTTGTCATCACTCATCCTGAGCTCCCTGAAGCAGTGGAAATCAAGCTACATCCTTAGTTTTGGATATTTTCGAACAATCTGTCTTTATAAGAAGATTTCTCTTGAAAGGGGTCCTCAAAGTAAATTTTAATGGGGTCCTGGGCACGCCGCACGCGCGCCAAAAAGGTATCTTTCACCCCAAGGACCCCTTTCAAAGGCAATTGTGTTCTATGCACGTTGTGCATATCAGTGATTTTTGGGGTTGACCATGTAATTCTTTCTGCTCTGAGGTTGCATTCCTCTCAAACTGACGAGTTTGAGGTGTTTGTCACACCTGATGGTGATACTGTGTGGAATGGTAATGATGATTCAACACCTGAATACATCATGGAGATCCTGAAGAAGATGCACAACGAGGCCAAAGAGAATGATGATTCAGAGGATGATGATGACAGGGAGAAGGAGGAAGAAGAAGAAGTGCCGCCTATCCAGGACGGAAGCCTGTTTGTGGCACCATCCAGTGTGCGCATGCCTGTGGCTTGGATTTATTTTATTTTTTTTGCATCATAGAATTTAATGTTTGTATGTTAGTTATGTGTATGTTTTCCTGTACACGTGTTTCAGCACCAAAGGTCATCATAGGGAGCCTATTAGAACCTATTAAGGTCACATAAGTTTCTCTATCTCCAAAACCATAACAAAACCATTGCACAAAAAAAATATGAAAAAGAACACCTCTGAGGAGGACGACAGTTCTGAAGAATCAGAACAAGAAGGTGGAGACGAGCCTAAGTGTGCAGTTGACCTGAGCAAGATCCTGCCGGAGGAGAAAGACTTTCTCTATCATGACCAGGAGAAGGGGACATGGTATGTTGTGCGGCCATCTGACAACCAGCATGTGGAGGTGACATGCAGCGATCCAGCTCTGGTGCCTGTGCAAGTGGGGGACAAGTGGGTTTTGATCGTTGACAGCATCTCAAAGGAGGCCGGAAGCAAGCCCAAGTATACCCAGAACTTGCTTGGGGGTCGCAAAGCAAAGGCAGTGTCAGATTCAGAGCTTTTGCAGGAGTGCTCAAAGTCTGGCGCTTATTTTTTTCCATGAAAAACACAATGAACCAAATGATATCAATCTCTACTAGTGCTTATTAGTACCTAATTATACTAGATAGATTTATATATAGTTTGTTGTCTCCACATCCAAGGTACCGTGAGGAATGGTCATCGCCGCCATTGCCGAAGCGAAGTATGCCAGCAAGTACAGTCCAGTCACCGTTGCAAGCTCGCAAGGCCACTCGAGCGGCTGCAACTCCTACCCGCAATGAGCCGCCCCCATCTGCTCTTGGCAAGGTACAGCACTCAGAGACACATTGTGTACACACTTTTCTGACTTATGTTGCCAACTCCTTGGGCTGGAAACTTCCATATTGCAAAATCAAAGTTGCAATCATTCTATTGTTTTACTCTGACATACCAGGAAAAGGAGAAGCCAGAGATTGAGAAGATCGATAAAGCCAAGTCCGAAAAGGAGACCGACAGCAAGCAGGAGAACGAGAAGATGGAAGAAGTGTCCACATCATTCGGTGACACTGCTACTGCTGCAGGCAGTTCCAAGGAAGAATCTGACTGAGGTGTTGGCTGCAACTCCAAGTGCATTGGACAACAAATAGTAATTTTGCATTGGTTGACCCTTACTAATAGCTACTAATAATTTAATAGCTGCTGAGATAATAATTATGCAAACCTTTGTTTTGAGCAATTCGCTGATCACAATGCACAGGAACAGCTGATCTTCTTGTTTGTGGTGCAGATACATTTGCAGAATTATTTGAAGATTCCCATTCTTATATGGTTGATTTTCAATTTGATTCGATATGTTCAGATTAAAATTGACTGCAAAATTTTGCTGCACGGAACATCAGTCAACAAAGTTGGCAACGTTATCCCCAGCCGCCACTGCCACTGTGCATTTTGCTGGGATGTGAAACATGTGAAACGTGACTGGCAGGCTATGTGTTCCAATGTGATGTATTGCATAGTTATCAATAAAATGAAAAGCTATTTGCTTATTAGTGCCTATTAGTGCCTATTGGTGCTATATGGGAACTAATGTAACATCTCAAAGCTTCTACATCTATCTGATTTGTATGTTTGCCAGTCACATTGTAAGTTTGGAGTACGATTCCAAAGGCTATAACCCCCAAATTTTGGGAGGGACATGAATTTCAGATATTCTGCGCGGGAAAAAAAACTGCTAAAAGCAACTTTGTCATTTGTTTTGATACAGCCTTCTGTTTACAAATCATTTCCATTTGGAAGAAAAGTGATGGCCCATGGCTAGACACATCAAATCTATGAAGGCAAGCACTGCAAATTTAGTTCAAATTTATACGATCAGCGTGTCTGCCTTAGATAGAGTTGAAGAACCCATGGCCCAATCAGTGCTGGAGCAATATTTCTTCCTGCTCGTGAATCATGACATCAACGCCAACGAGCCCTCAATCATTCCAGCACAGCAGACGTGCAAGCGCAAACGCTGTGATGAAGATGCTGGCAGTATCCAGTTCCCGCAACTTGTCCAACAATAAACAATCTTTTCATTCAGGTCATAACTGTATACCTGATTTTCAGTGGCATGTCAGATATTGTCATGCCACAAACCAGACCAAGTGAACAAAAAATAAATCTTATGCAACCAGGCAGCTCACTGAAGCAGAGCTGACGAAGCAGCGTCGACTCACAGATGATATGTACAGATCTTTTTGGAGAAGCAAGAACCATTAGATGAGGTGTAAGATCTCGATCTTGACTTGTTGACCTAGCTGCACACTGCAGTTACCTGTGCTTCTGAAAGGTGTGAAAAAAAACAATCATTTGAAGACTTTCAGCATTGATATCAGTGATACACACTATCACTAATAGAGCTTAATAAGGCATCGAGTCTGCACACATACAAACTGTGTTGATTCATTTTCTCCAGGGATCAGATTCTATGTGCTTTGAACTTCAGAAAAATGCGTGCCTTTTCAGATCAAAATCAAAATTGCAAATGTGCAATTCAGCAATGCTGTGATGAATCAATGATGGAAACTGCCAGCAATCCACCTCGTGGTCACATGCGCCCAGACACGAGAGAGTCACCTATCTTGCAATTCAATAATGATTTCTTTTATTGGTTAATTTGTGTAGTTGACTCATTATTTCCAAACTCAACCATTTTATCAAAAAAATGCGGCCAACCAGGTGGCCGATTTTTGGTGGTTCTCTTCAGTTGGGACCAGAACGATCTGGGTTGAAGCAGAAGACCTTGCTCGAAAAGTATTTACGCAGATTTCCAGCAAAAAAACGGATGCCTTCATCATCACAGGTGGATGAACCTGTTCTTTGACTACATTTATATTCTTTTCCTGTATGTAATCCATTATCTGAAATTGCACTCAAGCACGTATCAGTTAACCAAGAATTTGAAAATGTATTTTATCATATTGCAAACACATCAGAATGTTATGTAGCCAAAGTATAAGTAGAGTATATATATATTGATACTTCAGATAACCAACAGCAACCAAGGACAGGAATGAGCATCGCAGCCGTGACCGTGCTTCCAGGCACTGTGGCTTTGAAAACCGCAATGTGAAAGGTGTCCCTTGCTGGCATTGTGCAGCTTATGGATTATGGATTATGTGGTATTTGATTAGCCCAAATAAGGAAAATTACAATGATAATGGTATTCTTATGAATCTATTTTTTTTTGGTGTGCAGACTGGATGAATTCAGAATGAATTGGTTGATTGAGAAAAAAAAGACCATCACCAACTATTCCTCGTTGAACAAAAATCATGATTCTGTGTGCTTGTGGCAATGGATGCCAATGAAGACCATACATTACTTCATAATAATGCCTAATAAGGACTAATAGCAAGGGGTTGATTTTTTTCCCTGTGGAATTTGAGAATTCCTGGTGCCAAAACCCAGTTGACACAAATATACTTTATTGGTAATTCACTGACTACAGAGTGACATCTAAGGACACAGATGCTGGCTACAGGCGAGCACATGCACGTTCCAGGTCGAGGGACCCTCGCATTGTGAACATTTCTGTGCTTGTGGATTATGGATCATTTAATTAGCCCAAATAACTTCTAATAATTTGATAAGGTTAATATGATTATGAATCTATTTTTGGGGTATGCACTCCAGTGGCTGTGTTTCTGCCCAGAAGCACAAGGACAGACGCGCTGATCGCAAACAACGGGAATCATCAGGCAGAGATCTTCCCCGGGATCCTCGTTGGAAAAAAAAAAGATTCTGTGTGCTTATGGCAATAGATGCCAATGAATACCATACAGTACTTCATAATGCCTAATAAGGACTAATAGCAAGGGGCTGTTTTTTTTTCCTGTGGAATTTGAAAATTCCTGGTGCCAGAACCCAGTTGACACAAATATACTTTATTGGGAATTCATTGACTACAATATTGCAGCTTTCCTCTGAGTGATATCTAAGGACACAGATGCTGGCTACAGGCGAGCACATGCACGTTCCAGGTCCAGGGACCCTCGCATTGTGAACATTTCTGTGCTTGTGGATTGTGGATCATTTAATTAGCCCAAATAACTTCTAATAAGGTTAATATGATTATGAATCTATTTTTGGGGGTATGCACTTATCCAGTGGCTGTGTTTCTGCCCACAATGAATTCATTCCCTGAACATGCTGAAGTCAAAGGAGTTCAGATTGGTTGAATGACAAAAAAAACATCACCAATCATGTGTGTTTTTGTAATTTAATCATGGGAATACTATCCAGTAGACCAAGGACAGACGCGCTGATCGCAAACGACGGGAATCATCAGGCAGAGATCTTCCCCGGGATCCTCGTTGGAAAAAAAATGATTCTGCGTGCTTGTGGCAATAGATGCCAATGAATACCATACAGTACTTCATAATGCCTAATAAGGACTAATAGCAAGGTGCTGTTTTTTTTTCCCTGTGGAATTTGAGAATTCCTGGTGCCAGAACCCAGTTGACCAGTTGACACAAATATACTTTATTGGGAATTCATTGACTACAATATTACAGCTTTCCTCTGAGTGACATCTAAGGACAGAGATGCTGGCTACAGGCGAGCACATGCACGTTCCACATCCAGGGACCCTCACATTGTTAACATTTGTGTGCTTGTGGGTTTTGGGGTATTTAATGGATCCAAATAAGGAATGCATATGAATCTATTGTTGGATATGTTTGGGGTCTGCAATTAAGGGGAATTATGGGGAATTAAGGGAGTTACGGGGAATTACGGGAAATTATGGAGGAATTATGATGAATTATGTGGAATTATGGTGAATTACGGGAAATTACGGGGAAATATGGTGAATTACAGGGAGTTATCGGGAATTACGGGGAATTACGGGGAAATATGGGGAACTACGGGGAATTATGGGAAATTACGGGGGATTATTGGGAATTATGGGGAATTAATTAAGGGAAATTACGGGAAATTAAGGGGAAATAAGGGAAAATAAGGGAAAATAATGGAAAATAAGGGGAAATAATGGTAAATAAGGGGAATTAAGGGGAATTGTACTGTTTCTGCTCAGAATGGGTTCATTCTCTGAACATGCTGAAGTCAAAGGAGTTCAGATTGGTTGAATGACAAAAAAACATCACCAATCATGTGTGTTTTTGTAATTTAATCATGGGAATACTATCCAGTAGACCAAGGACAGACGCGCTGATCGCAAACGACGGGAATCATCAGGCAGAGATCTTCCCCGGGATCCTCGTTGGAAAAAAAATGATTCTGCGTGCTTGTGGCAATAGATGCCAATGAATACCATACAGTACTTCATAATGCCTAATAAGGACTAATAGCAAGGGGCTGTTTTTTTTTCCCTGTGGAATTTGAAAATTCCTGGTGCCAGAACCCAGTTGACACAAATATACTTTATTGGGAATTCATTGACTACAATATTGCAGCTTTCCTCTGAGTGACATCTAAGGACAGAGATGCTGGCTACAGGCGAGCACATGCACGTTCCACGTCCAGGGACCCTCGCATTGTTAACATTTGTGTGCTTGTGGATTATGGAGCATTTAATTAGCCCTCCATTTCTGGTTCATCACCTCCTTTACTCTGAATGTTAGCCAAGGACACAGATGCTGGCTGCAGGCGAGCCAATGCATGTCCCAGGTCCACGGACCCTCGCATTGTTAACATGTGTGTGCTTGTGGATTATGATGTATGGAGTAAATCAGCCCAAATAAGTGCCAATAAGGTGAGTACAATGCTTATGAATCCATTTTTGGGGTTTTCTATTGTCCACTGGCTGTGTTATGAGTGTTTTTGAATAACTGGATTAAAAAAATATATTGTAGCTGTCGTTCTTCATCAAAATGACGTTGAACAGCAGCTAAAGCTAAGGACACAGGTGCTGATCCAATACAAGCAGGAGCAGCATCATCAGCTAGAGATCTTTCCCTGGACTCTTGCTCTTGGAAGGGTTTTATGTGTTTGCTATGTATACATCCAGTAAAAATAAGCACTAATAATAAGGTTGCTGGAATTATTTTTTATATAAATCACTACAGCTGATGCAGCTGTGCTCATGTCCGCCGCCGTGCCCGCCGCCGCCGTGCTCGCCGCAGCTGCCGTGCTCGCCGCCGCCGCGCGCCGTGCTTGCCGCCGCGGCCTTGCTCACTGCCCCCGCCGACTTTCTTTCCTCCGCCGCTTCCTTGCCCGCCTCCTCTATTTCTCGTCCGCCTCCCCTGGCTCTCCACGATGGTCCCCTCCTTCTCCACCCTCCATCCTCCGCATTTCTCTCGCTCTCCCAAGTCCTCCTCCTTGTCTCTTCCATCCTCCTTTCCTCATCCGCGCTACCTTCTTCCTTTCCTTATCTTCCGTACTCAAGTCTGTTTGTTTGCCTATGCCTACCTTGTCCCTCCTCCATACCCTCCTTTCTCTCACTCCCTTCGCCTCCTCCTCCTCCTTGTCCGAACTTCGCTCCGATTACCATCCATTTTCTCTCCCGCGCGGTCCGTCCTTTCCTACCGCCTCATTGTCCCGCAAGTCCTCCTGAGTCCCATTTCAGCTCCTACCTTTCACCGTCTTCCGAGTCCTCGCCCTATTTCGAACATCTGATTCGGCAAGATAGATAGATATTTATAATATATGTATATATGTATACATTATTCAAAAAAGATTTTATCGTGATAGTCAATCCAGAGCATGGTGTGATGTAGTTTACACCTGACAATTTGTATAAGTCTGAGTGGATAATAATTATAATGCCTATGATCCAAAACCAATGGTAATAGCATGGACAAGGAGCACGACCCAGAGCTACAGCCTACCTGAATGTGAACAGATTGTGTTCTGACCCAACTGGTTTTACATAACTGTTGTATTGAAATGGTGTTAACAACAAAGATTTCTTCTGCTATGGGAATCAAATTCCAATAAAAATGATGAAGCAGTAACTCAGGTAGTGCAAGATAGTAGATTTCTATCGGATATCGAATATCGTGCAAGAAAGCGCATAATGAACAGTGAGCTGAGGACACAGGCGGAGATCGCATACCGGCAGCATCAGCAGCTGAACACTCTGCTGCCGTCACTCAAATAATTTAGTGTTTTGGAATTTTCAGACTTTTGCTACAGTACCTGATAACTGCTATTAGTTGTTATTAGTGGGTAGGACTACCATCCAAAAAACTGTTCATCACCCAAAGAGAAACCACGCCTATTCCAACTAAATGTTGTATCATAAAAACAATATGCTTCAAACTTCAAACAGTTGGAAGCAGTTCCACTGTTCCACAAGGTAATGGCATTACTTGCTCAACATGGTGATGGCACTCGTCGTCGCAACCAATCGACCACAGGCACTGGATCAGAAACCTATATTACATTTCAGTATGTGTGTTGTGTGTTTAAGATGTTTGGTCTATATTAGAATCAATACTATTAACAGCTATTAACAGCTATTAACAGCAATTAGGGTTTTGTGGGCTAACAGTGTGAATTATTATTTTATTGTTTGATTCACCAACCCAACTGAGGAGACACCAGCTACGGCCCATTGTGGATCAGAAAGGGACATTAACATGGAATATATTCAACCAGCAGAACGTGTTGTGCTACACAGAGAAGGACACCGATGGATTCTGATCCGTCCTAGTGACGGAAATGCGGCATTTTTGGGATTTCCGTATCCAATGCTGGCAGTCCGGAGCCGGGGACTCAACGTCTATGGTCTATTTGAAGCCTTTGTATATCAGCGGGGTTCCTGTGCATCAAGATGGCAATCAGCTTCAGAAATCCTAGCTGGAGACGATGTCTTTACAGTCAGGGGAACTGGAAATGCTGCCAAGCTCGCGGAGAGGTGGGAATTTATCAAATGATTCTTTGTGCCTCACCACATGGTTCAGTATAAAGGATTCCTTACAATTGAAAACATTTCAATGTTTATTATGGGATTAATGCATTTTTGAAACTATGGTTTCTATTTTGTTTTAAGATAGTATTGTGTGATATCAAGCGATGTCAAGCCCACCTGCACAGGATGCGCTGTCAGTGGAATCTACCGGAGCCTTTCTGAGCTTCGCTGCATGTGAGTTTTTCTGAAGCCAGGACCTGCTATGAGAGCTTGCATTTCACACTAGTTGTGTGAAAGACTGAACAGTTCCATGAACTTGAAATGGAAGATTCCTAAAATGATGATACATCCAATCATACCAAATTTAACCGTGTTAGGGTTGAAACCGATGATTTTTGTGCAGGTATTTGCATGGCAAGAAATCACCAAAATAGCTGCATCTGAACATTGCAGGCTCTCATTCTTGCAACTGCTTTGTGCAGTGTACATTGCTGCAATCAAACAGCACGCAAAATCAGAAAATGAATCTTCTGCAAGTGATACGCATTCTTTCCTGATTATGAGCTAGCATAGATTGTCGTGCAATGCAGCTTGCACTGTGTTATCAGATTTTCATTTGAAATGAGCAATCAGTTACGCAACCTAGGCCTTGACCCGACAAATCTCCGAAGTTCTCAATGGTGCATCTGTGATGAGGCCTTCCAACATTGTGTGATACATTGAACAATCAATGACACATATTGTTTTATTAAGCCTTATTAGGTAATATTAGGTAATTTATGTTCTTATTGTACTTTCATGTTGCTAAATCACAAATAATTAATACGGTATGCTTTGTGATGAACCCTGTCAGGCCTTTGCTACAAGGCAATGAATGCAAGGCCTTCTACGTGGTTCTCAAATTTTTGAACCACCTGTTCAATTCCTTCGGACGGATCGACTGGCTCCATTTCATCCCAAAGAAGGAAGACCGATTGGAATTTGGATGTGATCTGCAGACTGCAAAAACACCATCTCTGGATGGTATACCGCTTCTGAAACTGGATTCTCGAATGCATTTCAAAAGCAAAAATATTTTGTTCTATTTGATAAATACACAATCCTGCTTATTAGTGGCTATTAGCATTCCACAAAATATAGATTTGAATCTGATTATGCACACAAGGTGACTGATGGAGAAACGGTGCAGAACAAAGCATTCGAATATGCATTTGGCATACTGGGGGCACGAGGATTTGCAGATCAGGAGGATGCACATAGCAAATGGAATTGTTTCAAGAAAGCAGTGACGAGGTCAAACCTGAGTATGCCTCTTTTGCGCCTGACTCTGATCTGTATACTGAACATCATTAACAGCTTTTTATGTTTTTTTTTGGTATGTGGATTTCATGTCATGGCTGTCACAAGAAAGAACTGTTGTTTCTGACCCTTGAAACTTCTGCTCACTGTTTTGAGGCAACTTTAACCATGGAGCATTCTTGAGTGGCGACAAGCTTCACATGAAGATGGACTCGGTGAAGCAGTGGCTACAGAGTCAGGATGATGAATTCTATCCCACTATTTCGGAATCCATTTCCCGCGACCGCGGCATTGATTTTCACCCAGACCATGTCTATGCATCGTTTCAAACCTGGATGGAAGCAAAGATCATCAAAAACCGAGGACCCTTTGCAGCTTGACATCATCAAGTGTTTCTTGAATGTTCCACCTATAAAAATAATTTCCTCTTAGGATTGTTTGTGGTTACCTTTAGTTCTTGATCAAATTAGGTGAAAAACAAATCCTGGTTTGGAGCTCAACGAGCATTTCGAGCGCTTTTGCATGATTGGACAATACAAATGGTTGCAGTCGACTCTATGTTGGATTTCGTCTGGGAGGAGAATATCAGGATAAAAAAACATACGTTCAACATTCACATAAAACATATGTTAGAGTAAGATTATTAAGCCTTAATAAGCAGGGTGCAACTTGTGCTGGAAGGAGCAACAGAAGGTTGGAAACACAGAGCCTCTGGGAGAACCTGAGACAAAAAATGAAGAACAACAAGAACAGGAGGAGAACGCAGAGCCATATAGCACCAAGAGCGAGCTCTACAAGTATTTTGCTGGCAAAGGCCCTACAGAGATGATCAGCAGCTTTTTGCATGATGAGCGGAACAATGGATACGCAGTTATTTTGTGTGATCTGTCGCAACCACTGGAATCTGAATACGTGACAAACCAGGACACGATTTGTGCAGGGCCAGATGAAGCACTTCTATGGGCAGGGGAGCGAGCTGCAGGATCTTGGTTCGAAATGATTGTGAAAATTGCAATTATCCTGCAAAGTGTGGCTTTTTCGAGACGTTTGCGCTTCACCTTGCCCAGCACTTCTCCACTACTTGATTTGCCTCACTGGATACAAGGTGAATTTAAACTACTTCATGCTGCTTGGGACTTTGGATGCCACCTGATGTCAGGAATATTGTGGGCGAACCTAATACATAGCTATCGGCTTCCGCATGCTGCAGCAGTCTACCTGTTGCCTGATGGTGAACGTAGAGACAAGGCACTGAACCGAGTCAAACAGATGGTGAGAACCTTGCTACGAGTTCCTCAGCACAAAATTTTGCACAAATATGTTTTTTTGTTTTTTTGTTTTATGTTTTGTGATGAATATCTGAAAAAAATATGTACTCATCACCAAATATGATATTCAAAAACTTGTTAGGCACTATTAGGCATTATTAGTCATTGTGTGGGATTTTTTTGCTATCCCCTTCAGATTCATAATTTAAATTTACCTGAAGGCAGAGCAGCAATATGTGACGGACAAGGTGAAGAATTTATATCTGGGAAATTGTCTGAAAGACATTGGATGGAATTTCCATCAGCTGCCAAGAGAGATCATGGCATTTCTTCTTCAGGATTTGGATGAACAACTGTTGACGCTCTTCCACAAGTTGTACTTTGGACCATCTACTACAAAGGAGATCTGTGAAAGTACATTCAGCTGGCTGCATTACAAAGTACACAGTACATCTCGCAACTCCGTGATGAGTGACTGGAGCAAATACGTTTATTGTATCTTGAGCCCTTACACTGCAGCTTCAGGAATGAACCAGCTGTTGCCAGATGAGGATGACTGGCACATTGTGCAATCTGCAGCAGGGAAAGAGCTGCGATCAACAGCAGCAAAGTTCATGAGCATCCAATCAACGGAGATGCCTGAATCTGTTCCAGGAATGACTGTGGAATCTATGGATAAAACGTGGAGGAAGGCTGGCGTGTTGAGTGATGAACGCTCAATTGCTGCTATGGCGTACATTTTGGAAGAGGAGGACAACGAATGGAGCCATATTTCAATGCATTGGACAGGCATGTTTCATCATTTTTCTGTGTTGATTTCAGTTGTTTAGGGTTGGTGGTTGTTTGTCCCAAACGGTATAAATCCAAAAGGCAACCAACAATTGAAGCATATGTATTATTTGTTTTTCAATCATACCAGGCGTTCTGCTGGTTCATGGAGAAGTATACTACCACAAACCCACCGGAACCTACCTCCTGGCAATGGGGTGCCGAACCTGGTGTGCCTTTGGGCTACACATGGAGAAGGTCTCTGCTCAAGGGAAGGTGCTTTTTGGTGCAATTTTTTTGTTTTTGATGTCGAATGCAGTTCGCCCACAGTAGTGTTCACTTTTTTGAAATTTAAATTTTCAACATTAATCTGAAACCGTCAAATTTAATAGAATGTTTCATGTGAAAATGCTATATCGAATTATTTGATGTTGGGATGGATGATGTCCAAATAAGAACTAATAAGCAACCAAATAGTGGTATGGAGAAGAGAACAGCATGCAGGACTTTCTTGTTGTGAAACCTCAGCAAGCTATTCCGATGATCAACCACGCATTTGATTCCAGCAGTCCTTGGCAACATGTTCCAGTGCAGAGAAAGCTACCAGCTACGATGGACATCACGTTGCATGTTGGAACAGCAGTTGAAATTCTTGCGCGAGAGGATGATGGGGAATTTTCTTTGCTGAAGGCAGCGATACAGGCCAAAGTGTTTCTTCTTGCGGAGCACCTGAAAACAATCACTGCCCACCTTAAATTGGAAATCCCTCGGTTTCCGAATGGATCTGGTGCAAAGGGATCTGTGATTAAGGTGGATCATGCTCGTGCACTTGTGCGCTTCCTGTTTGCTACGCAGAGTCGAGAAGATCAAGAAAAACTGGTGAATTTCTTGGCTCCTCCACCGAAAAAAAAAACTGTACCGGATGCAGATGTAGATGAGGACTCAATGGTCTTGGCAATGATTGCTCAGCTAGACCCTGAAAATGCATGCGCATTTGAGAAGATGGGCCTCCTTGCAAAAGAAAAAATTGCAGAGACGTACCGACAAGAGGGCGCAGAGAAGCTAAAGCAGAATGTCCGAGCAGCTTTAGAAAGAGAAGATATGGAGATAGACTTTGAAGAAAAAGGTGAAGTCAAAGTGAAGCGGAAAAGGAAACCTACAGAAATGGATGATACTTGGTATACCCAATTAGTACCTATTAGCTAGTAATAAGCACATGTTTTCGTGTCTACTTTGTCCAGATTTGTTTTCGATACTGATCCTCCCAAATTCTTTTGTTCATTAACTCTGGTCTGAGGAACAACAAACTTTGGCTTTGTTAGTCTACTTTGTTCAGTTCTGTTTTCCGATACTGATCTTCCCAAATTCTTTTGTTCACTAGTCTGAGGAACAACAAGACTTGGCCGCGCAGAAAAGGGAACCGCTGCTACATCCAGGCAAGGATGCTCCAGAGGATGCTCTTGATGAGAAAGAACCTAGCAAGAAGAATGCTGCATCAGGGTCTGAGCATCCTGATCAACCTGATGCGCAGAAAAAACAAAGAACATCAACAACTCCGCCTACTCTCAAGTCCCTGTTGCCACATCAAGGCGGCAAATTAGCGAAGGAGGTGTGGATCCTGAGGAATGCAAAGACCTTTGGGTACCAAATCCGGTATCCAACAGGTGTTTTGGCATGAAACTAAAAATGTTTTATTTGCAGAACCAAAAATATGCATATGAGGTACACAAATAGCAGCTATTAGTGCTTAGATACTTACTTAAGGTGGTATTTCAGAACACTTCACTCAGGTGATGGGGTGGGACAACAGTCAATGAGCCGGAAATGGCCTACCAATGCAAATCCTGATGAAGCAACAGCGCTGATTGCTTGTTTGCACTGGGCTTATGCAAGGTGGAACAGCTTGCATCCTGACATGAAGGAGGATCGACCTCACGTTTTTGTCATCCACGATTTTCTCAAGACCCTGAAGGGGGATGACTCTTGGATGTTTACGACAACATAGAACAATATTTTTTTAACCACCTGTGTCTTGAGATTTCTTCATGGGGAAAAAATCTTGCCATTGTGTTTAAATCGTTTTTTTACAAGAAACACATACGACGCTGAGGAGATTATCGATACGCGACATTGACATATGGGTGACCGTCAAGTTACTTTCTGACTCCATAAAACATGGAGATCAGGCATTGCAACCGAAGCTGCTCAAAATCTGAGCTGCATGTGGCAAAAAAAACATAGAAACTGTGCAAAGAACATCCGTTTCCTGAAACATCAATTTTCAGAGATGTGATATTTCAAGTTCCTGAGCCACCACATTCTATTCAAACAATATGTTGTGGATTCAGTCACATCATCAATTGACCAGTACCAATGAACATTTCCAAGGAACGCCACTTGGTCTGTGCAAGAAGTCTGTTGGGGAAACAGCTTGCTGGGTACATGTAAAATCAAAGATCCACATCCGATGCAGGTTTCAGCTCTTCATGCAGTCACGGGGTTAACCATTCCACATTTGAATAATTTGTCTGTATCTATTGTATTCAATTCATTGCTTATTCACAATGTTTAAACATTATCGCATACACATCATGTTGAATCCTAAAACCAGGAGCAAATGGGTATTTAAAGGGTATCACTTTATTTTGATTTGATTTAGGTCGGTCCAAGAAGGATAAACATAATAATAATAATTATGAATATTCCCAAGTAAAACTTTCCAAAACAATGTTTTTGGCATCCAGACCACCCCTGAAGGTTGATGAAATATAATACATGATGGCTTATTAGTGCTTATTAATAGTTCCAATGTTGGTTTCCTAAAACTAATATGTGTTGATCTTAATTTCACTGGTTTGTATGCAATGATCTTGGAATTTCTTGCATCAAATTTTGCAGTATGGACCTAGCTGTGCTCCCTCTACCTCCCTCCCTCTCCCTCTATCCGTTTTCTCCCTCTCCCCCTCTCTCCCTCTCTCTCTCTCTCT